CACACACACACACACACACACACACACACACACACACACACACACACACACTCACTCTCTCTCACTCACACACCCATTCACGGTGTCACTGGTCTTGAAACTTGGATTGTATAAGTTCCTTATTATGACGCCTTTGTCTTGCTGTTCGGATTTTGTTGGTTCTTAGATTGCCGTTAAGTTCTCCGTTTTGGTAGTGTAAGTTTTTCTAATGTTGACGTGACACCCCGAGCTCAGCTTTTAAAACTTTCTCTTTGGAGAATAGGAAGAAGTCCTTAAGTCTTTTATAGCTAATGATTCACTTCATGTCTTATCGATAATTGATGAATTCAGATTTTGACAAATCGATACGTATCCACCGTCTACTTTTATAAAATGCTAAATGTAGCATACACACCAGTGTCAGTGGAGCAGTAGTTAGACGCTTTGCCGTCGCACACAGAAGACCCAAGTTCGATTCCCGTGTGGTACATGTTCGTGTATTGTCAATGACTGGTGGCTATTATGAAATTATTTGGAAGATGGGATCTAATTTTGGTTATAGATTTCCTGTACTTTTTCCTCTATCCTTTAGAACAACACTCTTAGGCTGCTGTAGCTGTATTTTTTTCTTTAGGTGTATCGAATGTGTCCATTGTTCTGTGTTACTGATAGGGTAGGGGACATTATTTCCTTTCAGGTGGGGGGAGGACGTCAACGGTAGGTTCCAATTCTTTTCTTTCCCACTGTTATCTCTGTCTGTGTGTCAGTCTTCCTGTTTCCCTGTATAAAATGACGATCATTGTGTCTATGTGCATCTCCCGTTACTCAGACAAACAAACATTCTATCGCCAGTTTCTCGGAGGAAGCGTGGTGTACTGGCAAAGGAAGCCCATACATAAGTTAATTTCTGTACTGTGTCAGCGGTTTGTGTAGCGTAATATGGAAACGCTCTCTTGTAGCACTTCTAATATTCGGCACTTGTATGGCATTAAGCTGTGAGTGCCGTAAAACTGTTACTAAAGAATTTTTTTTTAAAGTGACCACTATTGTTTCTATGTGTTTTCTTTACTCAAACAAACAAGTACTTCTTTACTTATACAAACCAACACACAAACAATCTGTGTACCACCACAGGTGAGTTTATGGTGTTGCTAGTGTTGTAAAACTCTTACTGAAACAAAACAGAAAAACCAAAATACTGTCAGTTTTAACTTAGTGTGCAATACCCCCTTTAGTCGTGATGTGAAAGAGTGTGGAATTGGATGTACATAACATTTTTCCCTGTGTCCTCTGTTCCCTTGTCCAGGCCAAGAAGAAGAAGAACAAACAGGACTTCATCCCTTACCGAGACTCCGTACTCACATGGCTTCTGAGGGAGAACCTCGGTACGTTAGTGTGTGTGTGTGTGTGTGTGTGTGTGTGTGTGTGTGTGTGTGAGAGAGAGAGAGAGAGAGAGAGAGAGAGAGAGAGAGAGAGAGAGAGAGAGAGAGAGAGAGAGAGAGAGAGAGAGAGAGAGGGAGGTAAATGAGAGTGTGCAAAAAGCAGAAGTTGCAGAAGTAAAAAATCATAGATGAAACGTACTTTGACATTACATTCGATCAGTGTTTATTTTTGTATTAAGGGGGGGGGGGGGTACACCTGAAGGCTAAAACTGGACCACATTTTACCAAATTTAATATATAGCAAGCATAGTAAGGAGTATTGAAATCCACAATCAAATTTGAGATAAAAGTTTAGCTTACATTCATACGGCAACGATATTTGATTGTGTTGACTTGTCTTACGTAATGAATACCGCTCTTATTGTTTTTGAAAATTTATTGTTTCTTTTTTACATTCATGTTAGCAAACATTAAATCTAAATATTTGGCTGTTTGCTTTTTCCTAAATGAATTACACAATTTTTAATGATTTTTTTTCCTGAGGTAGTACTCAAGTTTGCAAAAAATCAGTGAAAATCCACACTTCAGCCACTACCACCAAAAATGTATTCCATATTTCAAAAATGCAACTAATACAGTTTTAGTATCACATCTTGTCTTCATTATGTGAAAATTTCGTGAAGATTGGATGGAATAGAGTGGATTTATTCAAAAAAGTATAGAGGAAAATCTCGTTTTGGGAAAATGGCCAATACATTTTTTAAAAATATTGACCTTATGAGGAACTGGTGGTGACAAACATGCCCGGTTA